ATCTATTATTACACATGTCCCTGAAATTTGCTTATTTATCTAACCCCCACCCCCACACACTTACGGTCTAGCTCGACTTACACAGTAACCCCCCCCGCCCCCCCCCCCCCCCCCCCCCCCCCCCCCCCCCCCCCCCCCCCCCCCCCCCCCCCCCACCCCCCCCCCCCCTCCCCCCCCCCCCCCCCCCCCCCCCCCCCCCGATGATCTGTACATATAACATTAAAGCAAAAACTGTTATTTGTTTATCTCCCACTGATCCAGCCACATGCCGTGAAAGCCTCCCTATAATCTAATATTTACATATACCTTTTTATTACTCTATCCTGCCCTCCCATCAGATAACAGTTTTATCTCCCAGGAATATTTATAGGCCATACTTAAGCACATCAAAGCCATAAAATTGATGTAATTTTCAAATTTCGGCAAATTGTTTACAATAAACAGACTGGTCAATCATGTAATTAAATGGATATTTCACATCAACAAAGCCGACCCTCGTATGGTTTTGTAAACAAGTAGATATTGTATGCCTGACTTATTTTTGCTGGGACAGTTTTAACATTTATATACAGTAAAATTTGTGCATTTGGTTTAAATATTTAAGTTTGATTGAGAAGATGCAATGATTTTTTTTTCAATTTAAAAAAAAACAAAACTTGTGGCTTTCTGAAGGTAAAAATATAGCACGATAAATCAGAACAGGGGGAAAACCTGAAATCAAATTTCAATAACTGAGAATGGAATTTATCCCACAAATTATAAAATTTTCAATTTAAATTCAATTTAACACAACAGCATATCTGATAATCACATAGCAAAAGTTTGTTTGTACCCCGAATTAGGTGGGAAAATCAGAAATATTTTTAATACTGAAGCAAGTCTATTGACCAAATAACCCTGTTCTTAGAAGTTTTTTTCCTCCAAATAATGAGACCTCCAAATAATGAGACTTTCACCAATAACAAAATACAATAGTCATTGAGACAAAAATGATGAATTTTCTAAATATGACAACAATGAATATAAATTAATTTAAGCTGCATTCAACCCAACTTAACCTTCATTTTATGCTGCAATTTTGCACAAGAAATGCACAAATTATTGCTGCAAACTTTCACTCTCCACCAAAAACCTAAATACTGTATGTTTAAAGCATTATCAATCGCACAAATTACCAGCACACACACACATGAAGGGAGAAAAAAAAAGCAATTTACTTTTCAGACAAGAAAATCTACATACCATCCTGCTTTTTAACATAATTACCAATTTAAGTTTAAAGAACCTGATATTCCCCTTGACTAAAATATCACCTTTGAAACAAATACGCACAATTTGATTTTTTGAGTGGAAAATTGTGACATATTGAAGTAAATCCATTATGATTATTATAGAATACAATGGAACTATTCTTAATTTCGATTTTTTTTTAATTGTCAATTTACACCAATTAATCAGGTTTGTCATATTAAGATAATTCATGAATAGGTAACATACGAAAAGAAAAAAAATTAACAACCTTATAAATGGTGGTTTAAATAATAAATTTATCTGCATTAGTGTCTTAACAGTTTTTTTAATAACAAATTTATTTTTGCTGTTCTAACAAAACCTAAATCTCAAGCCATGAGTATTGATATGTCCCAGGGTGGTTTTCCTTTCATAGGAGAGGCCGTTCAAGGGCTGCTTTCCCACACAGGAACATCCTTTAAAACCATTGAAATTTAATTTGTAAGTGTTATCTTCCATTATAACAAAATTACCGTATTATCTTTTACCAAAATTTTAGGGAAGAATTCTTTTGCCAATCTGCGAAAAAAAGCCTTGCAGTTCAACTGTTCATGGAAGGCATCAATATACTTAATGTACATGTATATGGTATTAGTTATTAAATGAAAGTTCAAAAGTCAGAACGACAGACAGCACATCCCGGCAACTGATGAACTGTATGCTTCATAGTAGAAAATTTCAGGAGTAAAAAAATATTGAAACAAACCAGCAAATATTGGATACATATGCACTCAGCATGCAGTTTGTCAAATCAGTTCAGTATGTTATTTTCAACAGGCATTGGTCATTAGGATATCTGTCTATCTGATAAGTAAAACAATAACAACATCTTCAGCCAACTCACAAATGTTTAGCACCATAAAATTCACACAATGAACAGTGTTTGAGAAATTCTTTTACAGCAAAAAATGTATTTTATACCTAGTCCCAATCTATTAGCAATTTAAACAAACAATTTAAACGAACCTACTCATTTTTTTCACACCCCATTTAATGTTGACATGACTCTGGAGCGCTTCAATGGTGTTTTGTTACACCAAATGAAGCTGTTTTGCTTTATACATTTTGAATATGTGCCTTGTTTGCAGTACATAGACATTTCATTTTTTTCATATGAAAAAACAAATTTATGAGACTCAATAAATCCTGTCATAATTGTCTGCTAAACAACAATTTTGTGTACCTTTCAATGTACAGTCATGACACTGGAAAAAAAACTAGAATTCACACCTATATATTCATATTCAATCAAGTTTAAATCTAATGTTTTGCATATTGATCTGAGCATCACAAACTCCAATCTACATTTCAATCTAATAGATTTTCTAATCATAAGTCCGTACATGGAATAGTCTTAGAGTAAACTAGAATTCTTAAAGAACCATCAAAACAACAAAACTGAAAATGTCACAACTTTTAGTCTCGGTTTGAGTAGTATTGAGAGCAAAGCTACTGTTCTTGCTCCCTGTCACCAGCTTTTGAAAGCAGAATTCAACATTTAAACATGAAACGGTAAAGTTCTGAATATAGAATCATTCGTAATTATGGTTATTATTGATCTTTCAATGCGACACATTTATGTCCTTCCATAAAACAACCTAATTTATGGTCACCAAGTAAAAAAATACCTGTGCATTAATAGTGAAAACAAAACGAAATTTTGGTAGGGCATGAGAGGTTATGAAATCAGACATGCTTGCTATTGATTTTGTATTAATAAATTAGAACAAAAAAACAACATATATAACAAATGCTGAATAAATTATTCGAAAGAATTTTCTGTGGCACATTAGAAACTGTCATTTTAATTGTATAAGAAGCCTTATTTCAATGTTATTTACAGCTGATTTCAATACAATTCAAAAGAATAATTTACATATAAACCTGAACACAATGGTATTGCAAAGATGAAAATTCAATGAATTCACGGCAACAAATGTAAACAGCACCTCTTCTTATAGGGAGAAGGCTCGTCTATGCAATGATACAAAAAAAGCAAAAAAAAGCGAATGCTCTTTAAACACACTGTACATTTTTTTGTATCATCAACCATTCAAACACATGTAATCAACTTATTTGCAAAATGCCTTATTTCGATTTCCTTACTAGCTTTTTTCTTTATTTCAACTCACAAATTTTTGCTAGTGAATATCTCAGTAACTAGCAAAACTTGAAATTAGCTCGCAAAATTGAATTTAATCATTTTTTTTTCCACATCTTAACTAAGCATCCGAGATGGGCTTGTTTACTGTGATGATGAACTAACTTGATATTTGAGCAAATGGCAATCTTCTTGAAAAGGTCTTCCCCTTTGTCTTTTTTCATAAATTAATATACTACAGATACGTAATAAGCCTACTATGAATATACGTACCTGGGATCTAATAGAGTATACAGGATATATGGAACACATCAATTGAATTTGTGACAATAAATGTAATCACATTAAACACTGTTTGTTCTTTACAAAACCGAGATGACTTTGGGGCTGAGTTGACCCGGATCCTCCAGACCACATATATGTAATTCCAAAACGATGACAAAAATGCAGATTAACTAAATAGAACTTAAAACACAAACATGTGTCACTGTTCAGAAACTTTTCACTATTTAGGGGAAGATGTGTAAGCGGTTGGATAGCTCAGTCAGTAGAGCCGCGGTACGGTATTCCGAGGGTCCAGGTCAGGCTGCACATATTTCTCACCCTGTGACATTTGGCGCCAAACGTGGGGCCGTGACTGATATAGCTCAGAGTTCAATTTACATTGCTCTGTAACTCTGTGAAATTTGTGGATGAATTTCAATATAGCAGGGGAGTATGTCACGCTTCAGAACTGTTCACTATTTAGGCGGCGGCACGAAATACCCAAATACACCCAAATATACCCAAATACACCCAAATATAGCAATATTTATTTTTGTTTGTATAAAATATAGATTATAATGAGAAATAAATAAATATTTATAAAATGACATGACTAAGCCTGCTATAACTTTCATTCATTCCGTTGAAATGGGCAGTTAAGATGTTGTAAGAAAATAAAGTTGTGACATTTGCTTATCTACAATATCGCTTCTTTATGAATGCAATTTTAATTCAAGATATGATATTTGTTGTCTACACTTACATTTTTAAGGTGTAATTTTGTTGAAATTTCATATCATCAATATATAGAGGAAGAAGTCCATGTTATTAAAAAAAGCTTTAATGAGTACATATACTGTATCTTGTTCAAACACAATGATAGGAAAATGTATATTTGGTATGTTTGATTATATTCTTAGTGAAAGTGTATATTGTATTCATGATTAAAACAGCACTTTTTTTAGTATAAAACATTTATTTTTAGTATAATTGGACAATATTTGGGTATATTTAGGCAATATTTGGGTATATTTGGGCAATATTTGGGTATATTTGGGTGTATTTGGGTATATTTGGGTATTTCGTGCTGCCCCTATTTAGGGGAGAAGATGTGTAAGCGGCCAGATAGCTCAGCTGGTAGAACCGCAGTACGGTATTCCGAGGGTCCCGGGTTCGATTCCCAGTCAGGCTGCACATTTTTGTCACCCTGTGACACATGTTTATTTTCTATTATTATTATCCTCTAAACTAGATTCTATCCCTTAAGTCAAACCTTCTATCTAATAAAATGTTTTAATCTAATGCTGTCAACACCCATATGCAGAACACGTTTTTTCAAAATTACCTCTTTAGAAATCTGATCCAAGGCTTGTTCTTCAGCTGAATAATGCCTGTCAGTCGTTCTTCTTCTCCCTGAACTCATTTTTTGTGCTGCTTATTTACAGTTTTGTAGAGCCGAAAGTAGAAAAATTAATGAGTTTGCATTATTTTTGGAGAAAGATGATGATCCATCAAAAATGATGTAACTACTATAAAATTTCTGGTCAAACCATAAATTAAACGCAGTTGTTTCGTTTGTTTTCCTTACGTTCTTAATGTAACTTTGCCCAGAAAACCCGTTTGGCAAAAGAAAAACACACTTCCTCAAAGTGAAATTTTACGACAAATGGCGAGTTTCCGGAAGTTGATCAGTAGACTGATTTACACAAATGTAACTCAAAGAATATAAACTACAGGTAAGGAAAGCAAACTACATATCGCACTTGGAATAGTCTATTCTTCTATATTTCATAAAGACATGGTTAAGATAAAACACGACTATCATATTTTCCTATAAAATAAATCATTAATCCATGACGATTTATAAGGAAACAGAGAAGGAAATTTAAAACTGAAACAAATTAAATTGTCAAAATTTCAACTTCTCGACTTCATTAGATCTACTGTAACCAAGGGAATATGTGTGCTTTTTATATGGCCATTGAGCCATCAAAATGCTTTCATCTTTATTTCTAAAAATATTATTTTTGATATCTTTTATGGTAAAAAGGAAAAAACGAACTCATTTGCCATATCAATGAAGGTCTACCGTTTGCTTCTTTTGCAATTGGTGTAAAATGTATAGCGATTTAGTATTTTGTATGGAAGTCAAAGAACTACTCGGTTAACTTAAAACACATTTGTTACATTGCTTCTGCACCCATTCTTTAATTTATTGACCGGGAAAACGAATTGTTCGCTAAAGTAATTTACATATAGAGAGGGTAGGGTAGAGAAGTGGTATCGAGGGGTTTCCTTATTGTTTAATATGTATTTTATCGGCGGTAGAATTAATTTTCCACCTTAATTCTTCATTTCCACCTTAATTCTTTTGACTTGTCAATTATATGAAACTATTTATCTAAAAAAAATCACATATTTAATCTTCCGAAAAGCTGTAGGCCGCTTTAAGATTTCGTGTTCATTTGAAAAATAATCTAATTTATACACATCCAAACAAATACGAATTTATAATATTAAATACGGATATATTTTATTTTAATAATTCATGATGAAATTTTAGTAGTGTGCTCAAATGACTCTTGCAAAATGATATAACAGCATGTTTTGACCTGCAAATTATCATTATTATTATTATATTATTATTATATTATTATTGTTATTATTATTATTATTATTATTATATATATTATTATTATTATTATTATTATTATTATTATTATTATTATTATTATTATTATTATATTATAGTATTATTATTATTATTATTATTATTATTATTATTATTATAGTATTTATTTGCGTCCAGTTTCTGTGCGGATCAATACAGTTATCAAAATGTTTTAAAATAGGCCAGACAGCGTATTCATACAAGTTTTATGAATTCCCTAAAGTGATCTGTTACATCGTGATGCAAAAGTTTTAACCGACCCGGGACATCATTAATTTTTGGGATAAATAACACAGTCTTTAAGACGTACTTATTGTCTGGTGAATATATTAAGACAATGACGTCAATGACTGAGTAATTTGTTTCACAAATAGTAAATGTACTTTTGGTCTTAATTTAAGATGGCCATGCAAAATAAGTCTGACTCACTACCCTAAATATACACATTAAGGTTTCCATTAAAGGCTCATTATGCCATGCAAATGCGTTTATTTTTATTTTTCAAAAGCTTTCGATTTTGGTGTGACCTTATTTTTTTTTTTTTTTTTTTTTTTTTTTTTTTTTTTTTTTTTTCAAATGTTACTAACTGGCCAAGGACTCGAAAACATTTTTCGTCTTTGCTATTGGGAAAACAATGTAAAGTATCTTTATTACGTATGAAAGTAAAAATCTAATTTGTTTACTAATTCCCCCCTTAGACCATTCCGCTGAGACATAGTCCCTTTTAATTAATAAATAGGCTGTCTTACCAATTCTAAAAAAGAAAAATATTAGGGTTTTTTGACAGAGCGGCTTAACCGAAAATCTAAGTTTCAAAGAATTCATTAAATTATTATGTTGACAATGTCGGTACATTAAAGTATTAACATATGAAAGGTTTAAATTCGCTTGTTTTTGAGGGTTGACCTCAGTATAAGTCAGACTTATTAAATTTTTGCATAAAGACCATCTAAATTAATCCAAAAAGTACATTTACAACTTGTAATAAACCCTTTCCCCGGGAAAAAAAATTAAAACGGGAAAAAAATTCAAAAACTCAAAAACGCGAAAAACCCTTTTTCCTATTTTTAAAACTTAACTGATCCCGACATTAAACAACATAAAAGTTTTTATTTGTGGGTTTTAAAATATCGCTTTTTGCTAGATTGAAATTTTTTTCAAAAAAAAATTTCCACCCCCGCATAAAACCCTTTTCCATCAAAAACCCAAATTTTCCCTACGTTTTTCCCAGTCATTTAATTCCCCTTAAGCCCACAATCCTCATAAACATGGAAAAACCAGCATAAAAAAAACTTCCCAAAAGAACAAAAGGGTTTAATCCACATCGTTTCTATGGTTTTTCGTTTATAAAAATTTAATAAAACAAAATTTAATTTCTAAATTTTTCTTTTTTTAAATCATACACTTGCCTAAAAGTACAGGCTGAAAAAATTTATTTTCCTACATTAATACTTCATTTTTTGGTCTATTTTTGAGATCATTTTGCAAATAAATTTCAAAAAAAAAATCGGGAAAAAGGTTATCATGATTTTTAGTCAGATGAAAAAGTTTTTTTTAAAATTTTAAAAATTTAATTTGAGGGTGATTTTTTCTTTTTGCAAAAAATAATCCCGAGTAGCAAGGGGGCAAATTTTGAATTACTGACCCAAAATCTTCCCACCATAGGGCCTTAAAAAACAATTTCTTTTTATTGAATAAAAAAGGGTAAAATGTTTTTTAAACAAAAAGTTTACTTGTTTTTTCATGAATATAAAATTCTTTCCCACATTTAAAAAAGGAAAAAATCGTGCGACTTTTTACATTACCTTTGCGACTTTAACGGAAAATGTGCAACTTTAGCGACAAGTCACTTCAGCGGCGGTTGTGACATATAATACGGCGCCACAGACCTTTAACATTAGTTTTTAGTTATAATAGTTCATAAAGTCACTTCTTTACATGTTTGTAACTTGATGGTCAAATTTTCTTTATTATTTGGCACAGATATAGAACAAATTTCAAATAACCTTTTCAATTCTTTACTTCCCTATACATAGAAGATAACAATTTACTCGTAATAGCATAGTAAAAACATCTTTACTAAATATCTAAACAAAATTGCAGACTCCGTTATTGTACAAATTTATGGTTGTAATATAGTGGTAACTGTTTTATGGTTTCCGTCGAGGTTTGAAAAGTCCTCTTGTTTGAAAAGATCATTTCTATAAAGCCGTTTTCATTGCATTGTATCCTATTATAGGGACATAATTCAATCTACCAAATCGTGACAAGGACAGTTCAGACAGTCTGGGATATCATTTGTTATCTAAAATGCAAAATATTTTAAGACACAAAGCATTCTTTTTGTCTGTATGAAAGCATAAACTTGAATGAAAATCATGCATTCTTCTTGTCAACAAATCGGAATAAATTACCTAGATTTGATTGAAGGCAGTATGATTGGTTTTTCTTATTATATTTAATTCAGTGAGAACATTGTCGCAAGTACAAAAACATTTCCAGAAAATACGTGTTTCCGATTTATTAAACACTTTTATTTTCAAAACAGAACTTGCAAAAAAAAATGCGAATAGTCTTGATACCCGTATGAACAATACCCTTTACTCGACTTTTTCAATCCTGTAAAAATGCATCATTTTGATCAAAAATGACATTAACCATTAAAAATTGAGTTCATAGAGTTTTGAATTACTAAAGAAATACACATATGCTGGTGTAATTCACACCTGTTACTTCTTTCGAAAAGCTAGAAATGATTGTCAAATTTGAACATTAGAATGAAACACTGCTTACGGTCCTTTTCTGTGTTTTTGTATATATACGGTCCCTCCATCAAGAATGTGAGACATGTTTATGAAAGTACATGTATTAATGTTTTCAATATTTCAACTAAGCTCGTTATGAAATAAATGAAATTGTTTTTTTTTAGATCCGTCTGCACACCTAAATTAACACTAGAACGTGATGTTTCAGACTATTAAGGATCAATTAACTCGTCACATATCTTACTCTCCTCGAATATCTTGTTGTTTCCCCCTATTAGATGCTTACTACTTAATAATTTGTCTTTTTTTAGTACGCGTACCAATGAGCACCGGAAAATTACTACATCCGTGTATGACAATAGTCCCGATTATAAGTTCAAAAGATTCGAAAGTGTTTTTAATGTTCTCCTGGACAACCAGAAAGAGAGTAAGACTAGAAATATGCATTGGCAAAATGTATACGTTTAGAATAATGAACTCGTATTTGCAACATGTGGCATACTTTATTTGAAGTTTAACAATATAGTTTAAATTTTCACTCCTAGGCTGTGACGTCAAGGTGATGGATAGGTATGGATTCATAAATGGTTTGTTTTACATTTGCTAGCCTCGAAGACTTTGCAAATAAAATTGATCAGTTGGAAGTGCCCAAAATAGTAAGGGAACTGTTTTTTCATTTTAGATTCTGATGTCACAAAAAGAAAAGTGGTGACGTTAAGTTTGAGCCTTGGCAGAATTTGCTATTTTGAGGCCTAATGTATATAATAATTTAAAATGTAATATAAATAATAAGAGAGCAGATTTTGTTTAGCATTAAATTTTAACTTAGACAATAAAAACTCATATCCACGTGAACTAGGAATATCTTTCCTAAAACAGCCATTATTTGTTCTCAAGTCTTCCTGAAAATAGTCCAGACAAAAATATATTTTGGGTTCATAGTTTCACCATTTCAGATGCATTATTTTATCTGTCATATCCTGATGAAGACGGCCAAACCTTTTCGAGATACCATATGTTAGCGGTAAAATAATGACATTGGACACGTCACATACATATTGTCTACGCTTATGATGTATTTATGTAAGCAACAAATATGAACATTGATGTTCTGGACAAAATGATTTGTAGCGATATATTAATAGAAGCCAAACATATGCATTTGGACATCAGCAACTGGATGAGGACACTCATAAGCTTTATAGCGTTCTGCCCAATCCCAAAATGTATTTGGTAAATATTTTTC